GGCGGAAGGATCGCCAGAGCCCATCAGGTCGAGCCTGTGGTGGCCGGCAGCGGCCACTGCACTCCAGTCTGGGCGACAGAGTGAGACTCCAACTCAAAAAAAATAACCAGTATTAGAGGGGTGTAGGGAAGGCACTGCTTTCACCTGCTGTTCAGGTCTTTCTGTAGACTGTAGGCCTCACTGTGTATGTGATTGTGTAGTTAGGAGAGTCCTCAGTGAGAAGTATCTTAGGAACCAAGATCCTTCATATTCACAAAATGCGTAACATTTGGCGATTTATTTCAGCCCCGTGCACTGTATTTTTTAACTTGCTACATAGAAGGTGCCAGATACATAAATAAGGGCCCCTTCTTACTGGAGGAAGAGCAAGTTTGTAGACACTTTAATTATCAAAGAGACAGGATATCATAAGAATGAAGCTTAGGATTGGTTGGTTGTAGTGAGGGATGCTGTTGCTGGTATGCTTGTTTGGTCCATATTAGTCAGCGTTATCAGAAGCCATAACAGTTTCAGACAGGTCAGGGGACAAAAGATTACAGGGATACAAAAAGTGTTTTTGGTGTCTGGTCAAACACTTCTTTTTGAGCCCTTGTCTATGGTTTGACTGCATAGAGCCCTGGAATAATTTGCCTGTCTGTCATCATCCCTTAACCTAGCGGGAGCAGTGGTACAGTAGGCAGATATGTATGTGCACTTGCCAGCAGATGGCCTGCAGTGGCACTCCCCTCTGGCTCTCCTTGGGCCACCTTTCCAGCTCAAAGCTGCCCCATGCTGGACAATGGTATGAGTGGTGAGTTGAGGGGGATTTTATTATCCTTTGTCTGGCATTGCAACTCTGCTTAGCTTATGGGGTATTAAATAGTCATGACCAGTTTTCCATGTTGGTTATCTCCGGCACATTTTAGGAACACACAGGCCTTAGCCAGCCATCCTACAGAAACCTCCTGGAAAGAACTGGCCCTTTAGTGGGGGCGCAGGTGTGTCAAAATCACATAGAGTTAAATTGTAGATACTTCTTACTCCTTACCATATCTCATGAAATATGCACTTCTCTCATGAGAACCACTGATATAAACTCCAGAGTTTCATGGGAAAATGAAAAGTAAAACTAAGATAATATAATCATTAATAACTAGAATATCAAAGCCTACCTTTATGTTTCTAGACTCAGAAACTTTTTTTTTCCTACAGTTTTTAGTCTTCCTTTCACAGTTCAGGTTCCTCTAATAATTCTTCAGTAGGCCTGAAAAATATTTGTATTTTTTAAAAAGTCATATTTTAATGTTATTACTTAGAATGCATGATGATGATAGGAAATAACATAAATAAAAATAGCCACATCTGCTCTGTGAGTTTTAGTCTTCTTTTCCTACCAAAGGGTTTCTTTCCCATTTTTGATAACAGATGTGACTTCTCTTGCTGCACGAATTCATGGAAAAGCTTTGAAGTCATCCAGGTTTATGTATCCATGGGATCGGGACCCCACTTGACCACATTGCCCAGAGTTGGGCCCTTCTTCCACCTTTGCTGCTGCCACCACAGTTCCTTCTCATTCCCTCTCATTTGGTGATTGTATCTGGATCTTGCTTGGATGCATTATTTCCTGGGAGAATCAGTCTGTGATGCCTGTTGCCTCTGTGTTAGAAAACATTGAAGGAAGCTCTAACCTGTCTGAACCAGGAGTCCTCAATGCCCAGGCTGCAGACTAGTGCTAGTCCATGGCCTGTTAAGAATTAGGATACATAGCAGGAAATGAGTGATAGGCTAGTGGAACTCCACTTACTATCAGATCACTGGGGGCATTAGATTCTTAAAGGAGCATGAACCCTTTTGTTGTGTGTTCCTTATGAGAATTCTAATGCCTGATGATTCCCTAGGCCTCCCCACCCGATTCACGGAAAAATTGTCTTCCATGAAATCAGTCCTTGATGCCAAAAAGGTTGGGGACTGCTAGTCTAAACAGTGAGGCATGGAAGAAGTAATTGGAAGAGATGTGACTACTATCTCATGAAAGTTCAACCTCCCAAATAATGTTTACTTTGCCTTGGCTTTCCACTTTGGTGATATATGCATAGCATTTGCCAAGTCTTTCTGTTTTGTTTTTTTTTTCCACAATGATTGCTAATTCTTCCTTTTCATTTAATCTTATGTTTAAATTTACTTTTTTGAATGCTCTACTAGTTAGCAAAGTAGAGAGAATGGTACTTATCACCCATCTTAAAGAACTATCAACTCACATCAACCTAGTTTTATCTATATGTGATCTACTTTCTCTGTGTCAGATTATTTTGAAGCCAATCCCAGATATTTAATCATTTCATCCAGAAAGATTTCATTATGTATCTCTAAAAGTAAGGCCTCCTTTTTGCAGCCATACTTACAATACCATTATAGTATCCCAAAATTGAATAGTAATCCCATAAGGGTATTAAAAAGTTAATGTTCAAATGTCCCTAGTTATTCCAAATTCTGGAGTGAGAATATATGTCGTTATAGGTTGTGGGAGTCAGAATTTAGGTAAGGTTCATATTATGCAAGTAGTTAATAATTCTTGAAACTCTATAGATTCTCTTCTATTCACTCTATCTTTGTCTTTTTCTCTTTTTTTGTCTCTCTCTCTAATTATTGTTTATTTGTTGAAGAAACTAGGTTTTTGTTCTATAGAGCTTCTAACAGCTGGGTTAAAAACAGTTAGTATGTTTATCTATTGCATTTCTTATAACTTGGAGTTAGAGCTTAATCATTTGAGAACAGCCTGGGCAACTTGGCGAGATCTCATCTATACAAGAAATAAAAAAAATTAGCCTGGCATGGTAGCACATACCCATAGTTCCGGCTACTTGGAAGGCTGAAGCAGAAGGATCACCTGAGCCCAACAGGTTGATGCTGGGGTCGCCATGAGCGTGCCACTGCACTCCAGCCTGGGCGGAGTGAGTCTCCAACTAAAAAAAAAAAAAGCAGCAGCTTAATCAGATTCAACTGTTATTTTTCGTAATAATGCTCCATAGGTGGTATTATGTGTATGTCTCAAGAAGCACAGAAAATCTTGGTTGTTGCTCTCTCTCTCTCTCTTTTTTTCTTTTTTTTTGAGTCAGAGTCTCTGTGTTGCTTAGGCTAGAGTGCAGTGGTACAATCACAGCTCACCACAGCCTCAGCTTCCTGGGCTCAGGTAATCCTTCTGTCTCAGCCTCCTAAGTAGCTGGGACTTCAGGTGAGTGCCGTCATACCCAGCTGTTACCTAGGCTGATCTCAAACTCCTGGGCTCAAGCAGTTCTCCCACCTTGGCCTCCCTGAAGTGCTGGGATTACAGCCACCCTGCTGGTGTGTCTCTCTTTTGGATGTTCACATCTATTAATGATTATTTCCTAGATCCATTATTTTATAATTTTGGATTGCAAAATGGTTATATTCTAATTCAATCATTCTACTTCATTTGGTCACTAAAAAGATAAAATTTTCCTCAACACTCATTTGGTAATCCTGAGATGCA